CGCTTTAAATTAGACTTTGATGTATAAACGCCGTACATTATGATCGTGACACACATCCACGAATAATAGGCCAGTGTATCGGTATGAAGTGATGTGGATGAGACCAACGTACAAACCACTCTGTACATGCGTGTTCCCATAGTAATGTATTGACGTCATATAGACCGCCACACAGAAATTCTGTGCCGAAAACGTAGTTACAAAGCGGCAATGCACTAGACCACTCTTGACTGCACTAGGAATGGATGAAGTGTAGATAGCTTGCGTATATTTTAATTCTGATCGGTCAAAGTTTAACCAAATTACTAATCTAAACGCCGGTGCCGGGGGAGCTCCATTCTGATGAGATTCGTGGTAGGAGATCAGGTTGCGGTTCAAACGAGACCTGGAGGCAATTTTGATACTCGTGTTCAAGTTTAGAAGTATTGTACATCGGCGAATGGAGCGTCAACCTAGCGTACAAGACTGGCGTTATCACGACATCACTACGATTTGGTGCACTGACGATTGAAAACTGCAGTATGTTTTGCAGCCTAAGAGAAAGTTCTCAATAAAACGAGAACGACAGAGAATAGAATATAACTCATTTTTCACTGGTAAACTCATAGAATATTCTAAATCGAGCGTAATTTCATTGACGATTAAAGCGCGGTGGTCGTCGCGCAGCGCGTGTTCGAATTTCATGTAAATAAACAATGTAATTTACACGCGTTGTATACGTCGCTATGAGTCCTATATCGAACAGGACGCGGCGCGACGACTGCCGCCCTTTAAGGTAGAAGCCTAGTCATAATTTTTGACAAATTGGTCATAAATCGTATGACAATGTTCAATAGTTTATTATGTACAAATATGAAGCTAATGTCCCATGGTACAGTGAAATAGCATTATTTTGTGTGTTACAGTTAAGCTTTTTGAGAAATGTGTTCTAATATTTCTTGAAAATTGCTATTTTTAGAACAATTCCATAGAACGCAATGTTAAAGAAAAATTAAATTTGTTGACACTTTTTAAAACCCAGATTTTTTAAATAATTCAGAACAGCAAGTCATTAACAATATATGATTTGTTCAGCCTATGTCACCACGCTAGATTTTAAGATATTGCATAATATCTCTGCCATAGGAACCTGTGGTAAAAGTGGCGATTTTCCACTAAAATACAACCATCAGTTTCTCGAAAAAAAGGTCAATATCCTTATATTGCCTTGGAGTACAATTTATTGCAAAATGAATAAATTCTGGGTTTTTTAATTTATGAGTAGGCTTCTACCTTAAATAAGAACAGTTACCAGTATACTTACGTTGACATCATACATATCAGTGGTCACTGCAAAAATGCCCGGATGTGAACATTGACACTGAGTTGCCATATACGATTGTGATATCACTTGACAACCTGAACCGTCCCACTTCCATTCAGAACTAAGAATAAATACAATATGTATAATTATTGTGCTAATAATAGTTAGCTTGACGTGTAAAGGGAGTATCTCACCTCAGTATCATTGAATATATAACACCGTAAGCTCGTCATGTAAGTATCACAGTAATTTTCCACTAGAAAAGTATTGAAGCGCGCCCTCTGGTGGCGGACTACTGACAATGATGCTACCGAGTAGACGAACTCTTTGTTTGTTTGTTTGTTTGTTTTTCTTTGCAAATACAAACAACATACCGTTGAAAGTGTTAGCAATGTTTGGTCAAACAAAAAGAGAAATTAAAAACAAAATCATTGCAGACAGATGCTGACAAATACGGCCAACATGATTGAAAGAAAATACACAGTTGCTAAAATCCGATATTACTTACTCTTCCAAAATTTGCAAACTGACACATTCTGGATTGGATACATTGAATGTCTGGAATAAATGGAAGTATGAAACAAACATTACTTAGTGAGGATGCAACCTGATTGAAATCAATTGTAGGTAAAGATTCCGTTCGCTTTTACTTCCGGGTCACTAAGATTATTAACCAATTACCTCTCGTGTTACATGCCTCCATTTGCATATCAGTGCCAGAGAATGAATATGGCAAGTCGTATTTTTGTAACTTAGTGAAATAAATATAATCAAAATATAAAGAACAGTGTGTGGTAAAAAGAGGGCGGTGTTTGGATATGGTCAGTCTGCATCTATGAACCAATCATATTACTGGATTTTATAACGCATAGTATGACGTCATTGAACGTAAATTCTCACCTCGGCGTAATGTAAATGCATGAGAATCGGTGACGTCATATTCTTGAAAACTTCATCTGCATTCGGCATGTGGATTTTGCTAACCATTACGGCTGTGTTTATATTATCATTTTTATGCCTATTCTCCAAGGCTTTATTGCGAAAATGCGTTACTTTGATTGGACTGAAACGGAAGTGTACATAGAATAACAAACACTGTGTTCATAACTTACTTCTGTGTATGAGAAAAAACAGATGGGACAAGGTAACGTCTACGTATTCAAAGATTGTAACAATCATGGCGGACGGACGTACATTGAACTATCACACCGGCATAACTCGGTGTCAAAACAGAATTTAGAATCGTATTTAGGTATATTATTTTGCCATTTTACATGATCCAGAATTGTCAACTATTATTGCTCAATTGAAAATAAATACAACAAAATATGGTCACCCGAAACATTAGCTATCGCCGGGCGAACCCCACCATGCACATTATCCAATGCCGCCATACTTGTCACACTTCATGTAAGACTTTCTGTTATGAACACACGATTCTAAGATTCTTATCTTTTTAATTACCGGCTACTGGTGTAACTTACGCTGAAGTAACTTTTTCTAGTGTGAACACGGTAATAATGCCCTGTCCCGTCTCAATATGTACCCAACTTTCATCGGATTAATTGGGCTAATACAGTTTGAAGCAAAGGGTAATTTTGCGGTCACAAAAAAAATCTACTTTTAACCAATGTCATGGCAAATGAAATGGAAAAAAAAGTTCAGTAAAGGTTTCCTAAGAAAAAAAGTTGGTAAAGTTGAATAAACTGATACCGTATAGGTATCATGCAAAAGTGTTTAGTTTTAAAAATCAATTAGTAAACAGTATCATCACAGATGTTGAAAGTCAAAAAATGAAGCTGATTTTGACAAAGTTGTTTTCTCTGAAATTTCACTCAAAAATATATATCTTGGTCATGCTGGTATCAAACCCAAATACAGCCATGTGAATCACAAGCTTGCCATCCGTTGCATTTTTGTTGAAACTGAAGAAGTAATGGTTTGTCTTTTCTGTCTATGTCTTAGGCTGTGGGCATTAGCTCGGGGGGGGGGGGGTACTCACATAGAAAGTTTGATTTACTAGCATATATACCAGAAAATAGTATATACTACTCACTCTTTGTGGTTTGGTAGATATCTGCCAAGGGTATTATATTTGATGTTAGATATTGCTGAATATTCTGAAATAAAATTGTTAAATAAAATTATATTTCCAATAAAATAACGCAGTAATATTCATGTGAGTTCAATACGATTTATTAAACAGTGAAAATGATACAGACGTGAAGGTCTGTAATAATGTGAAATAATAAATGTGACGTCAGTGCGATGGGGTATCTATGGTCACGGTCCTTATTTCGATCCTGCGCAATACAAACTTCGGTACACCCTTTCAAAAAGACGCGCCCGCGATGGAGAACCTAACAGCGCCCACTAGCGACAAAAACACTTATCACATTGTTACCATAGTACACTCACATGCAGTTAGACTATTGTTTAGAATCAACAACTTGCATGTTTAGGGTAGAGATTATAAACATATATTACAGGAATTTGATAAAGAGTTTTTTTACTTGTATTTAGTAGTTGCAAGGCTTTAACCGTGAGACACTTCCCAACGACTGCAGCGATTGACTGATCACATGTTTACTCTTCCACGCCTTAGAGACTTTAAAAATAGAGAGTTGGCAACATTTTGTAACAAGAGAGAGAACGAGAGAAGTGGACAGCGAGGGGTTACCTCAGCTGACCGTTTGGGTGAATACAAAGTGACTATCTGAAATGAACTATGTGTATTTCTTTGGGTCGAATCTGGTATCTCTACGTATGTCATCTCGAAGTTTCCCTCTCCGTCCTCGACGCACCTGGACAGTGCTTTCGCAACAATATACTGGAAAGGGTTATTTCCCCAGTGACAGAGTGTGTACTTACCATGTTGTTCTTCCGTGTCAAGATTAGAGAACAACTCAATAGGTAGTGATATGTAGTCGTCTATATCCATGTCCCAAGGTAGGTCCTCAAAGGAGTCCCCTGGAAACGTCGTTCCTGGATACCCGGACACCATAACAACGCTCACATCTAGAGCTATATTAAGTTTCAAAATACGTCATGCTATTAAAATGATATAATCTAGAATCCATGTTTAATCGTGGTTAATGTCGTGTATTATTGTATTTCACATCATAGAAATACGGGCCATGTTATCCAATTGAGAGCGCAGTTACTTTGTAAAGCTGAAGTGACTCCACTTTTGAACATATTCAAATGAATTTAGAAATTTCATTTCACAGCGTATATTAGTGAAAATATAAATTTATTTATTCGAACTCATAACACCATATCGTCCGTGTTTTCATGAAAAGGCCTCGCTGACATGATATTTTCAAGTTTTTCTAGGATTGAAAATAGTGATAAAATCCTAAATATCAAAAAAAAAATGTCAGATGATGCGTTTTATAAAGCAGTATTTAAATCTTAATTTGATTGTTGGATGTAATACGCTCGGTATTTGATAATTGAGATGTCATCTTGTCATCAACATTCATCGTAACATCCTATAGAACTTTGAGTATAAATGTTATAACCATTCATATATTACATCATCCAATGTACATCTGCAATTTCGAAACACGAAAATACATTACTTATTTGACTCGCTTACGTTCTGTCCTAGATTTGCATACAGTCTCTTGTGTATTTCGCGGTAACTCGGCTTTCGCCATTTATACACTCCCACATTTTATTTTATTGAAAAAACACCTTCAATTAAACAAGTGATTGTATGCAAGTCTAGTTCTGCCCGTCTTGTATATTTCACAGCTTAATTAATCGTATACGCAGTTGTCTGGACGCGTACTATGACGCCACCAAGCGTTTTGAGAGAAAAGTGGTTCTGAACACAGTTGAGTCGAAGCTCATATACAAGGCAGAATTTGATACGTCAACAAAGAAGCTTCTCTGTGATTGGTCTGATTGTTAGGTGTTAGGGTTGGGTAGCCAATCAGGCACAATCTTGTAAGTAGCTTCGAATTGACGTGACGTGAATATGTGCTGCGTGTGGACGTTTTACTTACCAATGTTGCTGGCAAATAGACTGATAGATGCGTCTTTGTGATCTAAATTCCCTTGTTTAACGTGTAACATTAGACTTTCGCTCAGTATGTCAGTGAACGTATCCATGGTTTTTATCAACGCCACTGCCTCTTTTCCTTTGGGGATGGTCTGTTTCCAGGCAACGTCATTCTTCGTATCTGCGATGGCATTGAATATATCTTTAACGATCTATGAAGGAATATGAACAAATCTTATTATAGATCATAATGTATTTTTCGAAGTATGAATATTGTTTTCAGTTTTTACAATACTAGTAATTGTTATATGGAAGACAAACATATATTGCTCATGACTGTACTGTAAAGACGAGGACGGAGCTGCACATGCCCAGTATTATGGCTCACTGATGCATGCTATAGCACTGAATCACTACGTTGCAGAGAGCCACTTGAAAGAAAGGGATTTATTTGTAACTTGTTAACTTCAAACTGACCTTTGCGAAATCCTCTATGTCGTCTAAGCCTAAGTACGGAAGAACTGTTGGAGTCATCTGCGTCTGTTGTGCCATTGGATTGTATTTATGCGTGTCACCGAATATCTGACTTTCAACTAGTCTCCACTGTGCGTCCATTATCGCCGCAAAGCATGCTATGTCAATCGAAAGGTCGATTGGGTTCGTCTTGCGTGACTTCGTGTAGTTATCAAGTTTATGTGCATAGGTTAAAACGTGTGACATATTATAATTGGCTCTGTTGAAAGTTACATTTATCTGAAAAAATAAGGAAATTGAAATTGGAATTATTTTGGATTCTGGTTTGATTTTCGACGCAATAACAACTCCTAAATGCCGATGTGTATGATAAAGTCATATCTGCATAGATCCAGTCTTAATTGGAGTTAAGTTCGCATAGTCTACACGAAGTATCATGTCAGCTGCCGGCTCTTGAAAGTTCTTCAAATCTTGACATTTTTCGCAAACTGTTTTGTTTCATATGTAGATCCAAATGCTAAAATACAGTAGGGCCAGAAAATCTGTCTGAAGAAGGTGCTGAAATAGATGACTTCCCTTTTACTTTGAGATCTCATGTATTGCGGTAAAGGCGCGGACCGAACGTCATATCACAAAATCGAATGATTTGATTTCGATCGAACTTTCAAAATGCCGACCTTTGAGAAGAGAATATTACGCTGAGATACCATTAAAATTGACCATCATCAAATGAATATAGCACATTATTTAATCGCGGAAATACTCCTATAACACTTTCGCGTTTGTCGAATTCCACGCGATGTTGACGTCACTGCGACTCTATGATGCCTTCGTTTGCGCATGCATTGACGCTGCATGATCGTGATTTTGCAAATCAAACGCACCCCAGGTCAGTGCTGAGACAGCGCTTCCCGTGACAACACAACGCTTCGTCGTTTTACGCTCGATTTCACGCATAACACGGGATTTCGCAGTGAACGGGAAATGATATATTAGGTTATTGTCAGTTTATGACACTGTTGACCGTTACAAGTACTTGTTATTCTGAAATGAAACAACATTTTTTTCTTAAAAATATACTAGTATTTAATTTAAGAGATTTACAATTTTTTGAGGATTTCCACTCTATTCAGTATTATTCCCTGGTTCTAAAATGCAATATATGCTATCTAAAAATATAAACAGGAAGCCTCAGCAAAGACAAACTCATTTGATTTGCGCACTCTGCCGACGGTTAAATTTTTCGCAGCCCGATGAGGGCGCAACGGACGTCAGAATGTCAGTCCACCGCTGCAAATACTAAATAAGTAATAAACTTGTCAACTTACTTCATTTTGTAGATCAAGTTGTGATTGGGAGGCACATTCTGCTATATACGGTGTTTCCCACTTTCCATTGATTGCCCCGGGAATAAAAGAACACGTCCTGTTACCATACCCTATGAAAGCATCGGAAGGGATCACAATATGCTTCGGGTAATATGGCGACTCACATCGATATAAACACAAACGAGTCATGGAATTCGATCACCGACTTACTTTTTGGGTCATCCTCGTTCTCTTTGTGGCTACGCTTCGGACACGGCATCGATACCATCTCACCAGCAGGGGTTCTTGGCCACTCAATATTACTGGCAATATTCAAATGACACTGGGGGCCTGCATAAACGAAACACGACACCGGTAAATATTTAAAGGATTCGTCGCTTTTACGCTTCGGCAATATCTTGGAATCTGAGACATGTGTAATTGATTCTATTTACCGAATACATTTTCGCGAGGTCTGCGAATTGCAGCGCGATGCGAAATCAAATAAGCTGTCTACGTACAGGTCAATAGATATGACAATAGAAATACCTCGACTCGGTTGACCGGTACTTCCAAGAAGTAAACAAATTTGTATTATTTCTATATATAATTATTAATAATATTATTATTATAAATACCTATGGTATGGCTGCAGTGAATATCACATGCCAAATCGTAGTTTTCGTTGTCACATCCACTGGCTGAAAAAAAAATCAGAAACGTGACATTTATTTTAAATTATCACTTAAACTCTATGGTATTATTAATATTAATAATCATTTTTTGCATACACGTCACGGCTGTGATATATTTCACGCATACTATATTTGAATTGACATCAGCAATGTCATAAGCATGAATGGTAACTCAAGATATGAATCTGGCTGACCTTGAGGTCAAACAGATATAAACAAGCTTTAGCGTGGAATGTAAAAACCCGTTTCCATGTGTCACAGCCGTCAAGAATTTCCCGAGGCTGGTAATCTTATCCAGATTTAAAATAAAGAATAATACTCTAGACTGATAATGTGTCTCATTATTGTTACAGCGGAGTCGTCGCCCGCGTCCTGTTCAATGTGAGTCCCTTGCAACGTCCGCAACGAGTACAATGTTTGTTTACACGCAGTTCAAACGCACACTGTACGAGGACCGCGGCGCCTAGAGCATGAACAGAACAGAAAAGAGGCCCTCAAACATTTAGAGGTACATTTAAGTTAACATTGCTTTAGATTCAAGGATGAATACGATAGAGAACATTCTACGTTTTAATTAAAAAGATATATAATTTCACAAGTATTCCTAAATTTACGTTAATCTGTCGGATGAAAACAACTTCCCATCAGAATTTTGATATCGACACACAACATGCAATTAACAAAAGGCGATATTATTTCTCTTTTCACTATAATAATGATATCACATAGACCTCACACTAAATAATTTGATTTCATAGATGTCGTGTATTTCCGTCAAAGCTTTGATATGTTGATATCTGACAATCCTTGGCAGAGTAAATAATACTCCCTCTCCCCATGTGCAAAACAAGACCAATCCGTCGCGAATTAAATCTCTTCATGATAAGACTCACAAATATGTTTCTCAATATCCTAGAATCTTGTAGCAAATTCAATCTAAATACTAACATGGGTTTGTACATTTTATTAAACGGGGACGACTAATCCGTTACTGAGTCACTTAATCAGAACCGGAAATTGGCTCACTTAACTGACTGAATTCATTTCCAATAACGTACATTTAATTGAGAAGATAATTCCAGTGCATATACCAAATAATGCACTTTTTAAAAGGAATTTCCACGGCTAAAGCTGAAGTTAAATCAGCTAACTAAAGTGATATTCAAATTTAAAGAGTCAGTCACCTAGACTAACAGATAGTTTGCGAGGTTATATGTACCACATTCGTGCTAGATGACTGTAACTAGACTGGCTTCACTCTGGGTGATTTTGTATGATAAAAAAAAATTGAAATTGTATTTATTTTTTTCAGAAATTGGCCGAATACTGGGGATGATCTCGCGATAACACCATTATTTTGCAATTACGTGAATATCTTTAAAACATTGTTATTTTCACTTTTTCCAGAAATTGGCCGAATACTGGGGATGATCTCGCGATAACACCATCATTTGGCAATTATGTGAATATCTTTTAAAAATTGCTATTTTCACTTTTTCCAGAAATTGGTCGAAGACTGGGGATGTTTTCGCGATAACATCATCTTTTTGAAATGACGTGAATATCTTTTAAAAACTGCTATTTTCACTAATTACTAGCATACCAAAAACTAATTACCCGACCGCAACCAATCTGAAGTACGTGTTGTTGTTGTTGTTGTTGTTGTTGCTGTTGTTGTTAAATTACAGTAAGATCATTACATTTAAATGAACATCACAATTTAGCGAAAAACACGAGACAAATCTATAAAAAGCAAAAATCTAAAAATTACTAGTACATAAAAACAGGAAACTTAGAATGACGTAATATCAACGTGTGTAATATGTCAAGCAGTGCGCAATTAGTTTGTCTAAACAAAACCGCGAAAATGTCGCACAAAAACCTTCGTAATAAGGTTAACACTATTACTCTAAGACAAGGTGGATATCGATATAAGAATTCCCAGAATGCCCGGCTAATCACAGTGTGTTCAATGGAGTATGACAAGCCTTGGAGATTACGTTGTATCGCAGGGAATTAAACTGGAGCAAATGGACTGAACGAACTGGTTGAAATCGCAATCTTACGTGTATTATAGTTTGGATTGAATTCTTGTCTGACCTGAATCAGCTTTCAAAATTCACGTGAACACAAATTTTTATTCGATTAATTTGTCATTTGGTACTACAGGAAAAACTCCCACGGGGATTTGGAGCGTCACTTCGACTGATTGCCTGGCAATGACATCGGTAGGAATCCGGCATGGGGTGCCACAAATGTTATAAATGAGTGTATATTGTGATCATTGATAATATAGCACCCGCTAAATGCGTCATTTCTGGAGTAGCACTATGCACGCGATTATAAAAAAAAAAATAATTCCATTAATTGTGTGTATGCTTGTGTGTGATTCGTGTCCACATATTGGTTGGTTGTTGCTGGTTGATCAGATATGTTGTTATTATATTGAGATCTAGGCAGGAGTAAGGCCAATAAAATATCGAACACAATGGAAGCAATAACAGAATACATCGATAAATATTCATATAAGTAGTCGTTGGAAGAAGATTGTCCAACTAGTTCAACAAAGACTGTCATAAATCACAATGTATCAAATGTATGACACTCAAATTCGGCTTGCTTCTTATCTATTCGTTTTGCACAGAGGGAAGCGTTTTAACAACAGCGTACGACCTGCGACTATTACGAACACAATACAACCTAATTACGATTCGATTTCTTCTCATTAGGAAGGGTTTGATACAGAATCAGTCGGTAATGGAGTGTCCAATTGTAACACGCGAAGAATCTAGAGACGAGTGATGAATCAGTTTCTGCGGGAACCATATATGAATTAATTTTATCGTGACTTCATGAAATGAACAAGAGCGATGTTAGTATCGCGGAGTGTGCGCGATACTATATACTACTTTGCATACGAAAAAAGTCACAATAGAGTGTCTAATAACAGTCACATGTACAAATGGTGTTATCAGTATTTTCATCAGACCACTTAAGGTGCATTATTCACTGAAATACATCTTTGTATTTTATAGTATGGAAGAGCAATAATTATCTAAGAACACTGGGATGGATTCCGCATAAATGGTTCAATACACTGGGAAGGGTTTCACATAAAATATCCGAGCACACTGGAAATGGTTCCACCCAAATATTTGAACACACTTAAAATGGTACGACCTAAATATCTAAACATACTGTGAATGGTTCCACATAAATATCTGTACATAATTGGAAAGATTCCACATAAAATATCTGTACATACTGGGAAAGATTCCACATAAAATATCTGTACATACTGGGAAAGATTCCACATAAAATATCTGTACATACTGGGAAAGATTCCACATGAAATATCTGTACATACTGGGTAAAAATTCCACATAAAATATCTGTACATACTGGGAATTATTCCACCTAAATATCTGTACATGCTGGGAAAGATTCCACATAAAATATATGTACATACTGGGAAATGTTCCACATAAAATATCTGTACATGCTGGGAATGGCTCCACCTAAATATCTGCACATGCTGGGAAAGATTCCACATAAAATATCTGTACATACTGGGAATTATTCCACCTAAATATCTGTACATAATTGGAATGATTCCACATAAAATGTCTGTACATACAGGGAAAGATTCCACATAAAATATCTGTATATACTGGGAAAGATTCCACATAAAATATCTGTACATACTGGGAAAGATTCCACATAAAATATCTGTACATACTGCGAAAGATTCCACATACAATATCTGTACATACTGGGAAAGATTCCACATAAAATATCTGTACATACTGGGAATTATTCCACGTAAATATCAGTACATACAGGGAGTGGCTCCACCTAAATATCTGTACATAATTGGAATGATTCCACAAAAAATATATGTACATACTGGGAAAGATTCCACCTAAATATCAGTACATACAGGGAATGGCTCCACCTAAATATCTGTACATAATTGGAATGATTCCACATAAAATATCTGTACATACTGGGAAAGATTCCACATAAAATATCTGTACATACTGGGAAAGATTCCACATAAAATATCTGTACATACTGGGAAAGATTCCACATAAAATATCTGTACATACTTGGAAAGATTCCACATAAAATATCTGTACATACTGGGAAAGATTCCACATAAAATATCTGTACATACTGGGAATTATTCCACCTAAATATCTGTACATACTGGGAAAGATTTCACATAAAATATCTGTACATACTGGGAATGGTTCCACATAAAATATCTGTACATGCTGGGAATGGCTCCACCTAAATATCTGTACATACTGGGAATGATTCCACATAAAATATATGTACATAATGGGAATGGTTCCACCTAAATATCTGTACATACTGGGAATGGTTCCACCTAAATATATGTACATACTGGGAATTATTCTACCTAAATATTTGTACATACTGGGAATGGTTCCACCTAAATATCTGTACATAATGGGAATGGTTCCACCTAAATATCTGTACATAATGGGAATGATTCCACCTAAATATCTGTACATAATGGGAATGATTCCACCTAAATATCTGTACATAATGGGAATGATTCCACCTAAATATCTGTACATACTGGGAATGGTTCCACCTAAATATATGTACATACTGGGAATTATTCCACCTAAATATCTGTACATACTGGGAATGGTTCCACCTAAATATCTGAACATACTGGGAAAGATTCCACATAAAATATCTGTACATACTGGGAAAGATTCTACATAAAATATCTGTACATACTGGGAATTATTCCACCTAAATATCTGTACATAATGGGAAAGATTCCACATAAAATAACTGTACATACTGGGAATGGTTCCACCTAAATATCTGTACATACTGGGAATTATTCCACCTAAATATCTGGACATACTGGGAATGGTTCCACCTAAATATCTGTACATAATGGGAAAGATTCCACATAAAATATCTGTACATACTGGGAATGGTTCCACCTAAATATCTGTACATAATGGGAAAGATTACACATAAAATATCTGTACATACTGGGAATGATTCCACCTAAATATCTGTACATACTGGGAATGGTTCCACCTAAATATCTGTACATAATGGGAAAGATTCCACATATAATATCTGTACATACTGGGAATGGTTCCACCTAAATATCTGTACATAATGGGAAAGATTCCACATAAAATATCTGTACATACTGGGAATTATTCCACCTAAATATCTGTACATACTGGGAATGGTTCCACTTAAATATCTGTACATAGTGGGAATGATTCCACCTAAATATCTGTACATACTGGGAATTATTCCACCTAAATATCTGAACATACTAGGAATCGCTCCAGCTAAATATTTGTACATACTGAGAACCGTTCCACCTAAATATCTAAAAACACAGGGAAGGGTTCCATATAAAATATCAGAGCACACTGGAAGATGTTCCACCTAAATATCTGAACAAACTGGGAATCGCTCCACCTAAATATCTGTACATACTGAGAACCGTTCCACCTAGATATCTGAACACATTTGAAAATCTCTCCCCCCCTTAAATATTTGAAAACACTGGGATGGGTTCAATCTAAATATCTGTCACTCTGGAGGAATTCCAGCATAATATCTGTACACACTGGGAAATGTTTAACCTAAATATCTGAAGATACTTGTCAGGGTTCCGTTTAAATATTTGAAAACATTGGGAGGTATTCCAACTAAATTTCTGAGCCTACTGGGCTGCATTCCACCTAGTAAATATCTGAACACACCGAGAAGGGTTTCACCTCAATATCTTAACACACTGGGAAGGGTTTCACCTCAATATCTTAACACACTGGGAAGGGTTTCACCTCAATATTTGAACATATTGGCAAGGGTTTCACCTCAATAATTACCCCAGACCATTCGTCCCGGTGTTATCGCTATCGCCACACGAGACTCCAGCTTGTCTCCTATACAATTTTCCTTCCGCCCACTTAATTTTAATATTCATATGACCTTTGCACTGACATCGATAGCCAATCGCATTCGACCGCGGACGTCACTCTAAATAAACAACTGAATAAAT